TTTCTTTTTTCAAATCAAGTAGTTTCACATCAGCTGTGGTCTGTAACAGTTGTTTACAATTTGCTGCTCAGCATCACCTGCTAAATGACAACAGCTAAAGTTGGGAGAAAGCAGCAACGTCCTCTTTGTTATTTCTTTGAACGTGATGCAAGAAAAATGAAATCAAGTGTGTTGTAGTGGAAACAGGTGATAAAACAGGTGGAAAACTGCATGAATCAAACTCACACAAGATGCTAACTATGACTGTCTGACACGCTAGCTTCTGTCAGTAGCTCCAGGAAAAACAAACAACAGGTTGGAGACAACTATTGTCATCGTCCTAAAATAATCACCAAGTTTTTAGTTGGTAAAATTGAGTTACACAATTATTTTAGGAAGATGTCGCTATAATGGACTGATTAACTAGTGACCAAATAACTGTTGGTTAGTTAACTCACAGGAACATCACAAGCTTGATACATTGATAAAAGTTTTTTCAAACTATAAAAAACTAATAACCAATAAAAACTAAACTAAACTAAAACTAACCATTAAAAATGCAATAATAACTAATAAAACAGCAAATCCATTGAAAAAAAACTAATTAAAACTGAATTAAAAGAAAAAGTCACAATGAAATAAAACTAAACTATAATGAAAAACCCTAAACTATTATAACCTTGTTTCTTATCATCCTCCCAATCACAAAAACCCTGCAGGAGACCGGTCCTCACCTCTCCATCCCGTCTCCGATCAGTTCCTCTCCATCTCCTTCGTCCTCCTCCTCCTCCTCTCCAGGCAGGCGACCCTCCCCCAGCAGCCCCTCGGACTCGTCCTCGAAGGGGGGCAGGTCTCTCCCGGGGCTGGAGGTCGGGTCTCCTCTCCTGGAGGCTCGGCTGGGGCTGGTGGCCATGTGGAACGACTCGGAGGAATCCTGTTGATGACACGCGTCAAAGTGACTGAAAGTAGCTAAAACAGCTCAGAGGCTTTCGGCTGATTCAGCCGAAGGCTGTGTTTACACTGAGTGCAGACCTGCATTTCCAAATAAGTGTCACTAATAGCTGTTGTTATGACAAACATTGGGATGAAAAGGTCATTTTTTATTAGAATAATCTGATTTATGTATTGAATTAAAAATAAACTCAATTATTGAACAGAGAATAATAAAAAAAGGTCATAAAATAGATCAAAGAACAATTTTAGCCTTTTTATTGTGTTTTAAGTGGTAATTTTAGTCTTCACAATGATGTTTTTTGTTAAAATGTACTTTAACTGGTTTTATTTACCATTAAATCCAAATAAATTCTTAATTTTAATGAGTTTCATCAAATAATGAAGCTGAGAGAAACCACATGGCTGCAGGTTTTAACTCCTAAACATCACAACATCTGCTTCTTACATTAAACATTAAATAAGATAAACTTTTCAAACAAACCCAGTCAGGATTTATGGCTTAAATTAAGTTAAAATGCAGCTTTGAGTCCAAACTAAAACTTTAAACCGACCTCTTTGTGTCGTTGCGTCAACAAAACACGAGCCTAAACCGAGTAAAACTGAAATTATTCTGATAAACTTGTTTTTATTTAACTTATTCATGTTTTAGTTGACAAATAAAACCCGATCAAGCTTGACTTTATTACGTTTTTACGGGTTTTGACTCACCGCCATTGCTGCGCTGCTGCTGGTTAAAGATGCTTCTCCTTCCTGCCGGGAGCCGCGTTTCGCGCGAAACGAACATGTGACGCTCAAAGCCCGCGAAACGTCATGAATATGAGAGCAGAACGTGGACGTCGGGTTTTCCCATTGGTTGGTCTGCGTTGAAGGGGCGGAGTCTTTGGTTAAAAGGTTTGTTTGTTTGTTTCCACGGAGTGAGCCGCTCACTGGAGCCGAGAGAAAACGGTCCAAACCGTAAAATAAAACAAACCAACCTTTCGGTCTGACGCTTTGCGCATGCGTAGTGACTGACGTCGCCCCCCCTCCCCCCACCCCGTGCTGCGTTCAAGTTTAGTAAGAATTTAGAAAGAAACGTTAAGTAAGGTAATGTGCTTCTGGTTTTACATTTTGACAACTTTTCACAATATAAGACCAATTATCAATGATTCCACAAAATTAAATATTATAAAGTATAAATAAATAATAAAACCGAGAAAGATTTAACAAATAATTAAGTTTTAACGCAGTATTTCCTTAAAATTAGGCCAAAGATGTGAACTGTGCAACAAAGCAAAACTTACTATTTGTTCATGTTAAAAATAAAAACAACGTATTTATGTTTCATTCCAGCTGTTTAATTGTAAATATTTAAAACGGTAAATTTGACATCTGAAGGATACTGCTGCTTTATTTAACGTATTTTATGAACAATTCAAATGAGCTTCAGGCTGTAACAGCATATCCCAAGAAACATTGGAGTCAGCTGTGTCTGTTAGCAAAATATCTCATGAACCACGGGATGGATTTGAATGAAACTCTGAAGGAAAACTTTGTGTTTACATCGATTATCTTTAGGAGTTGAGTTGATTCAAGGTGCAAAACAAAACTAACTGAGCCCGAGTGAACTTTATAAATAATGAGCTGAAGTTTGTTGTGGTAGCAGCTGAGAGTCATCCCTAACATGTCCTCTGAGAGCTGACAGATCTCACGTTTTATTGTGTTTTTTGTTTTTCATATCAAACAGATAACTTTCAGAACCAGAACCGTCGACTGAAAATAGGCCGTGCAGATCAGAAACTCTGCAGAAGGAGGAGGAGGAGGAGGAGGAGGAGGAGGAGGAGATTCTGAGGTTCTGATTGGCTGAACCAGAACGAGCAGGAACCCTGCAGCCTTTGTTCAAAACACAAACAGTCCAGTGAACCTGCAGACCTGTGTGGTTCTGATCCAACAGCCCGGTCAGGAAGACCAGAACCTCTGTTGTTCCTGTAAATAAACACATCACAAAATCATGAAAACTACTTCATGTTGAAAGAAAGAAAGAAAGAAAGAAGGAAAGAAAGAAAGAAAGAAAGAAAGAAAGAAAGAAAGAAAGAAAGAAAGAAAGAAAGAAAGAAAGAAAGGACAGAAGAAAGGAAAGAAGAAAGAAAGAAAGAGAGAGGGAGAGAGGGAGGGAAGGAAGGAAGGAAGGAAGGAAGAAAGAAAGA